ATATGTTCCCGTCCTGATGCCTACATCATACTGAAATTACACCCCACATGGCTGCTGCGAAGCGTGCTATGAATTTCGTGACAGACGGACGCACACACACAGACATACTTAGCGAATTATATATAGTAGAATAAATCAATTAACAAGAGGTTTTGTCATAGTATGCCATTTTTAGTGTCTAGTTTGTCGTTTTTTGCTCCTTTTCTGGTTTGCTGGTTTAATAGGACTCATCAATAATGATAATTCTTTGACTTTTCACTTTTGTACTTCTTAAACGAACTTTTTGATGGATGGTGGGGTAGAAGGGCTTTTACTTTGAACAGTTTCGGAGGATTTAAAAAACCTTTTCATAGTTCCGCTTTTGAAGGGGGTCGTTTCATGGAACTGGGTGAACGGAACAAAACTGTTTTCATAAGTGTCCGTAAAAATGATGTTGTGATCATAGAAATTGTTATTGAGTGGACGATGTAAATAATAACTGTATATAAGCACACCCGAACGGATGTGGTTCATTCTTGTTCTTATCCTCAGTCTACTTCCTACCGTTCGACTTTTCTTGAACTACACGTCGTCCAGCTATAAACTGTGAAGCAGATCGGTGTACGACAGAAGCAATGTAGGAAGCAGTTATACCTAAGAAGCGTGGCAGGCACTATATATACCTATATATCCTCTCCGCCACAAATTCTTTGGTGCATCGGCCAGACCAGAAGCACAACGACAGCGTGGGTTCACTCATTTCACTGTACACGAAAAGAGGAATCGCACTGACTATCGTTTGAAGCTATTGAGAACTTGCTAGCGTACTTTCGGCTGCAGTTCCGAGAGGTCACAAAAAACCGACTCTAGGATCGCAAGCTCACTTGAAAATTACTCATATAATCAAGTATGTTCAGTAACTTCTAAAGAATCATAGAAACCAAGAAGCAAAGATGACATTTTCACTCAAAACTCGCAAAGGCATAGCAACACGCCAAGCGAAAGCTTTGAATGGTCTTTTGGAAAGCTTCAACCACTTAGTAAACAGTACATAAATGATGAATACAATGCCGAAAACCTAACAAGCCAATTCAACAATGCATTAGTTCATATCCGTGCAACCCAAACATCTTTTGAAAAAGCCTTCTCCGCGTTTGCAGAAACAGTTGATAACCTTCAACACTCAATGGAAAACGAAGAGGAGCAGCGCACTTCCGACCAGTTGGAGAAAGGCCAGATCTTACTACCGGAATCGGAAGACTTGCAAGCCCGTCTCGAATTACTATAAAAGCAAGCGCTCAGATCCAAAACAGTATGGCAATCCAGCACAGCTCGAGTAGAACTTCCAAAAATTCCCATTCCGGAATTCAGTGGTAGTTGTTGGGAGTGGGACAACTTCTGGGAGTTGTTCAATGCCACAATACATTCTCTCCCTTTGTCGAATTTGCAGAAGTTCAATTATCTTCTCAAGGCTTTGAAGGGAGAAGCTCGTGAATTTGCTGAAAGGTACCAAGTGGCATCAACTAACTGTCCCTTTGTGGTGAAGCATTTGCAAGAAAAATATGGAAATGCATTTGTGATTATCACCAACACACGAACAAATGGAGGTCTGCATAGCTAGGAGTGCAGACTTGAAAGATCAATGCAAGCTAGCTCTACTCCCTCACGAAGCAATTAGAAAGCAAAGGAGCGGACCTTAACAGTCCATGGCTGATATCGAGAATCTTAGCTAAGTTCAGAGATGACATAAAAAAGATGAGTTCTCGAGAAAAAAAGTTGCACTCTTGAATGATCAAACTTGGAGCATGAAAACACAAATGGAAGCCTTAGACAAAGTTTTGAAACAAGAAGAGGAAATCGAACATCACATGCCAGGAACCTTCAAACCCCAGAGTACCCCAAGAAAAGTATTCCCGGCCGATGCACCAAAGGAATTTGTGGTGGAGAACCGATATAAACGGATAGATAGATTAGTCCCCCGTCAACCGCCGGGACCTTCCTTTCCTGCGCAAGCTTTCTATCCTCTGCTATGGTCCCTTCCTCCTGTGACACCAACACCTCCTGGAAGTGACGCGTATGCAACACAATGGTGTTTCAAACAGTAGAAGGGGCACAATCATGATATGGCGGTGAATTTTTCGCTTCCCTTCCTCATCCTCCCTTCCTCTCTCCACTGCCCCCCAGCTGCCACTGCAGCACCATGTGGAATGAACGGAAGTGTGCTAAGCAGGTCTATATACAGCCCTAAGAGTGTTATCACAACTATCTTGCTACTGCTGCAAAACATTGTATTCAATCCTGTAAGCTATCCGCCGATCTTGTTTAGCAGTTTATCCCATGAGCTTCCTTCTCACTTTGCGGACGGACACACATACATACATACATACA